GAGCCGGCCGCCCCGCAGGACAAACCTCTGCGGTGCCCCTTCTGCGACTTCGCCTGCCGCCACCAGCTCGTCTTTGACCAGCACATGAAGGGCCACGGGGGCACCCGTGTGTACAAGTGCTCGGACTGTGAGTACGCCACCAAGAACAGGCAGAAGATCACCTGGCACATCCGCATCCACACCGGTGAGAAGCCCTACAAGTGCCACCTCTGTAAATATGCCTGTGCCGACCCCTCACGGCTCAAGGTGAGAGCCCTGTTTGGGGATGGGGGATATGTCCTGCTGCAGCTACGTGGGTTGGGTGGGATCCAGACATGGGGATTTGGGGAAGAAGAAGAAACTCCCAAGGGGAAGTTTTTGTCCTCTCTCTCCTCTGTGGTTCCTACAGGAATAAGAGGCAGGCAGGTAAAACTCACGTAGGTACAATGTGTTTCTGTCCTAAACTCTGCTCCCTGGAATTGTAGATTAAGGGGAAGGGGGATTTATAGCAAAGGAAGAAAATGGGCAGCTGTCCAGGTTGACTCTCCTCTAAAAAATAGTGTCCTCTGGGTGCAGCTGGCCGTGCCCCCACCACAGGGCAGCCTTGCACCACTCAAACCCAAGTTCAGCTGCCCGCTGGCTAGCGGCGTGCCCTGTAGCACCAGTTAAACATGGTACAGGGAAAGCTCAGCTTCCCTGCAAGCAGAGCCAGACCCTGCCCTCATTTCTGTAGGCAATTAGCATCCTCATGCACGGTAAAGAGCCTTTCCTAGAACAGGAGGTCCAGGTGTGGGGTAATGGAAGGGAAAATACTCTGGTTTTGCTAAAAGAAATATTGACTTTTTTAATGGCCAGGCTGAGCTGGAGCCCTGTGGGGCCGCCTGGGCAGGATATGCAGCGTGCTCAGCTCAGGGCTGGCTCTGTTGGGCTGGGTTTTAACCTGGACTTTGCCCTAAATGCCGAACTGGGGAGGAAAGCCTGCACCCCTCCGAAGGCTGGGACACGAGGGTCACGTCCTGACCCCACTGTGGATGCCCCCCACCCATAGTCTGCCAGGCAAGCAGACAGCCCTCCTTGCCCCACACAGTTTGAGGGGTCAGCACTTTGAACCCCTCACTGGCACCCCAGAGCCCTGCACGTGCCCAGGGCAGGGGACATGGCCTCATCCTGACCCTGCCCTCTTGCCCTGCACCCAGTACCACATGCGGATCCACAAGGAGGAGCGGAAATACCTCTGCCCCGAGTGCGGCTACAAGTGCAAGTGGGTGAACCAGCTCAAGTACCACATGACGAAGCACACGGGTGAGTGTTGCCCACTGAGGACAGGCCCTGGGGCACCAGGGAGAGTGTTGGGGCTGCAGAGACCCCGGCTCCATGCTTCCTTTGCTACCAGTGGCCTAGCTGGAGGTGGGGGAGGACCAACAGCAGTTGGGGGACAGCACGTTCTCATGTGCTGGTGGGTTAGGGACAGTGCCCCGGGGTGGGAGGGAATGTGGGGTCTTGGAAGTTTGGGGTTTTGAGGTGCCTGCTGGCAGGCTGTGCCTTCCCAGTGCCAAGGATGGTGTGTAGGGGGGTCCCTGGGGCCTGTTGCCTTGGTGGGGAGAGCGAGACCCGCAGGAGGGAGGGCACTGCACCCCCATCCCAGCCCCTTCCCCATCGCTGCAGGCCTGAAGCCGTACCGCTGCGATGAGTGCGAGTACCGCACCAACCGGGCAGACGCCCTGCGGGTGCACAAGGAGACGCGGCACCGGGAGGCCCGCTCCTTCATCTGCGAGCAGTGTGGCAAGGCCTTCAAGACCCGCTTCCTCCTCAAGACCCACCTGAAGAAGCACAGCGAGGAGAAGCCCTACGTCTGCAACGCCTGCGGGCGGGCTTTCCGCTGGGCGGCTGGCCTGCGCCACCATTACCTGACCCACACCAACGAGCACCCCTTCTTCTGCCGCTACTGCCCCTACAAGGCCAAACAGAAGTTCCAGGTCATCAAACACATCCAGCGGCATCACCCCGAGCGGGGGGCCGGCGACCCCAGCCAGGGGGTGGGCAAGGACCCCAGCACGCCCACTGTCCACCTCCATGCTGTGCAGAGGGAGAGCCGAGCCGAGGGGCTCCCCAGAACGGAGCAGGAAGGAGGGTGCCCCGCAGAGAAGGACGGCACGTCACAGTGAGGCTGAACCCTGACTCCTTTGAGGCCCCAGTGGCGCAGGGCTGCTGCAGAGATGTATGTGTGTCTATAGGCATATATGTATATGGGATGTAAAATATGTGGCTGTATAAAAGGAACCTCTCAGCTCCTTTTTAGTCCTTTTTCTTGGGGCCTTTTGGAGCTCTGTGCAAGGGAGAGACCGCCAAGCAGAAGCCCAGCTCCCTGTCTCTGTCCCCAGCGTCACTGCACCCAGACCTGAGGCTGCCTGTCACAGAATAATTTATTAAGTTAATAATAATAATAATAATACAGAGAAAGGACAGGGCAAGGATTAGTAATGGGCACTGGCCAGGAGCAGCCCTGGGGGCTGTAGGAGCTGGGGACTCTGATGGGGCTCTGCAGAGTTGGGGGCAGTGAGGACCAACTCCTCTTCCAGCTCTGTTCAGCCTGGGGTTTGCTCGGCTCCAGCCTTGCTCCCCTGGTCCTGGGGGACCAGCCCCTGCAGCAGAGCCAGGGTGCTGTGCACCATCTCTCCTCCTCCGCCTGCGGGCCAGGGTGGGCTGCACACAGGGGGCTGCACCAGTGCAGACCCCACACTCGTATGGGAGGCAGCGTCCCAAATGTGGGAAGGGGAGGTCAGTGCCTTTTCCCAGCCCCTGCAGGCCACTGCAAACAGGGGCACAGCAGGGACGATGACACAGATGGCTCAACAAGAGGGCGATGCGGTTGGCTCTGCAGCCCCAGCTGCTCGGGGCCAGCTCTATGGCTTCCATCCAGGTCCTGCTCACCCCACAGGCTCAGTCCTGCTCGGGGCCGGGCGGCTCGGTGATGCGGATGTGGACGAAGAGCGAAGAGGGTGGAATGCTGGTGCCATCCTTGGAGAGGAGGTGGATGTGGCGGTAGCCTGCAGGGGGGACAGTGAGGCTCTGGCTGATGGCTGCCCCCCACCCTGCTCTCTAGCACCCAGC